TTTCACTAAACTTCTTGTGTCTATAAGATTTCTTTTCTTTCTTCAAGAAAATCAAATTGTTTCATTGCCTAATACGAAACGATCGTTCCAACTCCCTGATGCTTACTTCAATCCATAATTGAATTTCTGAAGTTTACAAAACTTTCTAGGATTTTCTGGATCATCAAAACCCTAAGGTTGTATCATATACACAACCTCCATCCTGAACATTTCAATAATATGGTTTTGACTTCTTACTGCTAAATTTTTGTAATAAAAAATTAGCAATCAGTAGAAGAATACAATTAGGCTTAAGCAGCTAATAGATTTGACCCCATTTGTAAGTCTATCAAGGACTAACACATCTTTTCAGACATGGAGTCCATTCTGGATTTCCTGTGTTAGTACTTACCAAAGCTTGCTTATAGGCTGTGGGTTCCAACCATTCCAATAAGAAAATTTTAAAATCCACCTTTTATCAAAATTTCAACAAACTGATTGTTTTGATCTTGAGCGACCTACGATAGGTATGAGCAACAATAGAATTCTTTTCTTCAACTCTTTCATTCAGGTGGGACAATAGGAGTCTCGCTAGTTGAATTAGCTTGCTTCGACACATGATCTATCAAATTAGCTAACTTCATGCGCCTTCATTCGTCTCTAATGTAGTATTATTCACATCCATTTGTTGCTCATCTTGAATCTCTTCGAGATCTAAGTCTCTAACTTTACTCCCACTTAGTTTTGTAGGAAGAGATTTCTTTCTATAAAGACAATATTGCGAGCAACAAACACTTTGTTATTTACGCGATTGTAGGAATAATACCTCTTAGTTTTCATGGGATAACCCACAAAATACTATTTATCTGATCTAGGGGCTAGATTATCATCTTTGTAAATATTTTACTTAGATTTCGTAACCCTTAATCCTGTTAAGAAAAGACAACTTTGGAACATTTCCAATCCATAACTCTTATGACGTCTTTTTAACTACTTCGGTTTAGTTTCTGTTTAGTATGTTCGCAATTTGTTGTTCTCAAAACGATATTTGTAAATCATTGAAACTAATCTTGGATTGAAATGTGGCGAGAAAAGTTTGATTCTTGCTTTCTAACACACATTTTTAATTGTTGTGTTCTTGGAGTGTGAACTAATTTCACAATTCCTTAGATGATTATTAATTTTGAGTTAAATACTTATCACAACAATCATATTGTAGTGTTAATTAATCATCTCAAACTGATTTTACATTTCATTCCGGAATTTTTTAACATTTCAACAATTCCAAACTTTATTAAGAAATCATGGACATATTTACTTAAATCGTTAGTAAAAGTAATGAAATAATTAAATCTTTTGCTAGATTTTGAACTTATTGGTCCACATATATCATATGTATGAGTTCTAAAAGGTCATTTTAGCTCTTTCACCCTTTCAACTAGAAGGTGTCTTGGTCATCTTACCTAACAAGCATGACTTTTAATTCTCAAGTGATTCATAATCAAATACGGATAAGAGTCCATCCATTTGAAATCTTTGGATGCGCAATTGGTTTATGTGACCCAACCTTACTTCGTTACAAGTTTGTCTTAAATCATCTAATTTTGCTTTTGTGATTTACTTATATCAATGTCATATTACCTTGGTTATGGATCAACACTTGTCCAAGCCAAGTAAAACCATTTAGTATCTCAACAGATGACCGAAATATTGCTCATCAAAACTAGAAATTGTCTAAATCATCTTAAATTTTTTGAAATAAAGCTATGAAACTTTTCTTGGCCACTCGAAAACTTCTAGTACACCGTCAAGCTCCGTTTCCATGTTGGCCTCACTTCTTTGCAGTTTTCGCACAACATTAATAACGTTAGGCACTGCAAATTGGTATCATATACCTAAGTGAAAGTTAAAATGTTTATAACAAGAATATTAGGTAACTCTTACTTGTCACTTCATCATAGTGGGGGCATTCTTGTTCAAGCACTGGCTTATTCTCCTTTTAGGCAATTCTCTGCATGATTTTTGAGTAAATCAACTAGCTTGACTGCAGAGTCCTCATCATCTTTTGATAACTTCTGGAGGTCAAAATCATCATGTAGAGAATGCATAATTATTTCATGAACCTCATTGTCTTTGAATGGTCTCCATAATAACATACTCATGTAGTTGAATAGTGAAACCATCATTTCCACATGAATTTGTACTGACTGTCCTGGCATGAGTTTTCTAGTAATTATCTCACCAGTAGTCTTGTAGGTTTCAAACCTAATATTTCCGGTTCAGGAGTCGTCGTCCTTGGGAACCATGTTAATGAATTCCTCGATGTTTCCATCCAGTTTCCCATCACAATGGGAATTCAGTAATCTATTGCAAACATCACATAAGCAATTGAATAAAAGATAAGGTACATAGTCCATAAATCTTCTAGCCCAATCCTGTGGAATAGAAGACAACATGACATACATGACTCTCTTAGATACTGAAACATTTCTCAAATGCTTCTCATGAATCATGTCTGGACTAAATCTGTCCTTGATTGGTAAGTCTAAATGAAATTCAAGCTTTTTGTTCCTTAGAATACTTCTAAGTTCGCTTTCCCAATCATTGAAGTTGAGAAAATTAAGCCTTGTTCTCATTGTTAGTGGTAAATTATTATTGTCATTATTGTTAAGGCTACCCATCTATGTTAAAATATAGCAAAGTTTAATAATTATGTTTAATTAAAATTTAAAGAACCATAAACAAATTAAATAGGTAACTTTAAAACACTAAATTCAATAAATGATCGTAATTGAATTTAAGTGATTCCAAGACCCTTTATTTGTGCAATAATTGACCAAAATTTGGCCCTATCATAACCATTACATTTTAAGGTGAGTAAACTCTTTACTGATTACAACTTGTGTAACTCTTGGTTGAATAATTAACCATCACATGCTTAATTATTACCCTTTGCTTCAAAGTTCTAAACTCTTTAGGTAACTAACCTTGTTGAGCATAGCCAATTAAAATTGTAAAACTTGATTTACCCCAAGTCTCTCAAGAGATAAAATGAAACCCAACTTTGGCATGACCTATCATTAATCATCAAAGGTTTGTTGGGTTTTTAATTGGAAAAGCAATCTCAATATTAATGAAACCTAGATTTACTATGTTGTGATTATTTAGTGAACTTCAACGCATCATCAACAAACATAAATAAAATCTAACGTGCATAATCTACTAATGCATAAAATAAAGCATGACATAGTATGACCCCTTAGTCCTAAGAAAACTATAAATTAAATGCTCCCACTTGAACCTTCATCCACCTTGCTCCTTTGGGCCTTCACTTCATTGACTTCTTTGGACTAAACTATTTAAATAACTAACCTATTTACTTTAATTAAAAGTTACAAAAATACTTAACGGTACGCAGACTATATTTAGTTTACAAAAATACATCACGATAGCATATCGTATTTAGAACCTATGGTCCATACTAGTATATATATATAGTAACATGATATCACATATAGAATATAAAAGTACCATAAAATAAATCACTCAACATGCTTGTCTAAACTACAACATCGAATGTCTATAATTAAGGCAATATATTTACTAAATTATCTCATATTTTTAATTCACAATTAGATCATATCGCACATTGTCCATGACCATTTATAAAATATTATATATTTTAATTTAGGAATGAGATAAAACAAATCATATTTTAATTTTTAGAAATCATATTTATTCTCCATGATTATCCTAACTAATTTAAGAGATTCTATCCTAATTACTAGCCAATCAAATAATTTTAAAATCAATTATATCCTAATCTAATAATAGGATAATCACATTATTTAAATCAATTACTATCCTTTTGGATTATGCTCATAATATCCTAACAGATCTTATCTAATATTAAACACTTTAATTATGGGTAATCACTAAAATTTACAACTTAAATATGGATAATTATTAAATAAATCAACTATTGAAATATTTGATTTTATTCTAGAATAAAACATTTATCTAAAATAAAACTAATTTTATCCCAAAATAAATATGAATTTATCTTGAAATATTAAAAAACATAATAATAATTTTTTTAGCAAACCGTGCCACACCGTTTGCCACCTTGGTTGGCAAGCTGAAGCTAGCAACGGTGCTTATGGCTGCAGGCCACCGTGCATGGACAGCCACAATGGCTGGCTTCTTTATAGCAGCCGCAACAACAGACGTGTAACGCTTGCATGCTGTTGTCCAGCCACCCGGACCACCTGCCCTCCCCTTCCTTTCCCTCTAAGATTGACGTACAGTCAGCAACCACCGTGGTTGTGCCACCAAACCGTGGCTGACAACCACTTTACATTTTTTTGTTTTTTAAATTTAATTAAAACAACATTTATTAAAATTAAATAAGTTCAAAATTAAAATGAAATCCCTATTCAATTTTAAAATTAGGGTTCATCATAAAATTAATCCCAATTTAATTAAATTGACGATCATACACTAAATATTTGTATGCATAAATCAATCTAATTAAAATTATGATACATGAATCAAATCGAATTAAATAAAAAACAAGCACAAAGATCAAAATTTTAGGGCTTTAATTTCGAAAAATCCGAAATTAGGGTTAGGGTGTTTGAAATTTTCAGGCAAATAAGGGCAAATTTCGGTCCTCTTCATGGCTATTTTGAGCATAATTAAATCGCATTTAATCAATTCCAAGAATTAAATCACATCTAATATAATAATTGAACCATAATTAAATTGATTTCACCCTCTTAATCACTACTAGAAAAATGTAGAATGACATTGGTTCAAAAGGCCCATATGGCACCAACTTTGAACCGTTGAGTATTTGAGGGATGCCAAAAAGTGGGATTTTTGGCACCAGTTCAAAATCGCCGGTGGCAAAAAAGGGTTTTTGGCACCGGTTACAGTTCAAAACCGGTGCCAACAATGACCCAATTTTTTTTTTCTTTTTTGCATTTTTTCACTTAAGTTGATATATAAACACTAACATATATATAAACTTACATATCTTCATTTTAAAAAGGCTATAATATTACAATTTTAGTCCAAAAAAATAAAATAAAATACAAGTTACACACATAGAGCAACATATGTAGCAACATGTATATTAAACACGCACTAAACATTTTGTATATGGGAAACTTTCATCTAAATTACCCTTATAGACATCACCAAATCCACCTATACATAAAGAGCAATATCAGAAGTGCGCAGCACAGAAGGAGCATCACAGAAGTTAGGGCTGAGCAAAACTACCCGAAAAACCGAAAACCCGTTCCGTTACCGTTCCGAAAATTAGGGTACCCGTTCCGATAATTTGTTATCGGGTATGGTTTTTGGGTATCATTTTAAAATTAACAGGTATCCGTTCCGTTCCGATAAGCAATTTTTTTTTCTTACTTAAATCTATCTTTTCAATATTTAAACTCTTACATTACTTCATAATCACTATAAATATCAATAATTAGTAACGTTATTAATAATTTGTTCAAGATCATGTGGTGATCATGTGGTATTGTTGTTAATTAGTGTTAAAAAATATCATAATAACTAATTTTTTAAGTTTAATTATCACTATTGGATACTTTATAGGGTACCCGATAACCGTTCCGAAAATTCGGGTACTCGAAATCCGGGTACCCGAACTTATCGGTTTGGGTTATGGATATCACTTTTAGTGATATTGGTTATCGGGTACCCGAACAGTTATTACTAACGGTACGGGTACCTATCCTATGCTCACCCCTAACAGAAGTAGAACAACAGGACAGAAGCGAAAGCAGCAGCACAGAAGGAGCATCACAGAAGTAGAACAACAGGACAAAAGCGAAAGCAGCAGCACAGAAGCAGAATAACGTGGAGAGCTGATTCACTCTTGTGTGAACTGTGAAGGGCATGAACAACTTGATATCAAATGATTCAAATCACCAAGACCTGCAAATCTTTGACAACATGTTACTGTTGACATGGTTGTTGCCGATATCAACAAATTCAAATCACCAACTACCTACAGACTAACTAACAGGGTAACTTCATATAAGGAGCAGCGCTAACATTTCGTTTGCCTACGTGTTGCTTCCAGCAGCTGACTCAACATGATATTACTTCAATTGCTGTTATGACATTAAATATTAACATAGTAAATCAATCAAGAAGATTATAACTGGGAAACTCTCTCAATTATCATACCAATCAATCCACCAACTTTATATAATTCAAATGAATTTAACCCACATAAAACAACTATAATATATTTCTTTGGCCCATAATTTGCTCACTATAAAAATAATGCCACAAGTATATCTTTATTAGCCAAAAAGTTTGAAAACTTTGTAGAGCTTAATGATCCTTATCAAGGACCATTAGTAAATAATTGTATAAGAAGGTCTGTAAATGCCATAATTGTTAAGGTCCTAAGAGGCCCACGTACTATTCTGTAAAGTCTAGACCATAAAGAATAAAAAATCGGTCCCAAATTGGATTATCGAATGATTCATATAAAAAATAAAAGGAAGATCCAAAATATTGCATAAGATTAGGCATTTTTCTACCTTCATTTTTCCTTTTTTACTTATAGGAATTATAGACAATATTTTGCTGCTTTTTTCCATTTGTTATCACTAAAAGGGCACTAGTGCAATCAGCTAGATTTTTTGATAAATACTCCACAAAGTAGCAACTTATGCCAACAAAATAATGTGCTCTGTACCAACAAAATAATGTACTCTATAGAAAAACCATACCAGCAAAAAATTGCACCACTTTTGATATGAGAGATATTATGTACTATACTAGTAATAGTTCCCTTATAAACATTAGAATTTTTTTTTTCAATGACAATAACTCAATAATTACTCTTCTTTACTTAATGACTTCTTAGAAAAATCATCATCACTAAAACCAAAACAACCACAACCAAACAATACCCTAATTTCAAATCCAAACAACCACAATCAAACAATACCCTAATATCAAATTAAAACAACCACATCTTAACCAAATAAAAAAATTAACATCTTCAAATCAGAAAAGAACCCTATCTCAAAACTGTTTATAATAATGGTAGATCTGGACTCCTGTTCGTCATGAGAAAGAGGGGATTTGAAGATGACTGACAATGAGGTGACGGGACGCCGTGAAAATGAGGAGAAAGAAGAAAGACGTCATTCCAATACATAGAAATCCAAGCATAAACCACCGTCACCATAATCACAAAAAAAAGTAAATAAAAATCAAAAACCCTTATCATCTCACGCAAAGCTAAATAACCCAGGAATCGAAACCTCGAATTTCTATTTTTTTGGTTAAAAAATGATTCAATTTTGTTGTTGTAGAATACAAATGCATATAGAATTGATTAAAATAGACGAAATCGGAAACCCTTACCTCCATTATTAACGGCGACGACGATGATGACTGTCCTTGTTCAAATTGCTGGCGGTTTTTGAAGGACATCAGCAATGGTTATTGAGAATGAGAACAAAAAGTAAACAGAATGCATGAGAGAACCAGGGATAGAGGAAGATGTGAGAGAGAGGCAGATGAGAGAGAATCAGAGAACGAGAGATGAGAAAGAGAACCAGATGAGAGAGATTAACTGGGTTAGAAATTAAAAAATAAAGGAAACCGGGTAACCAGTGCTCTTTGTGTTAGAAAATGTAAAAAAAATAAAAATAAAAAACAAAAGGAGAACCGGTTAACCGGTGCACTTGCGAGGTTTTTAATTTTTGTTGGTTTAAGCTTGTTTTTTCGCACCGAAATTTGTTGATGCCCATTCATGTTTTTCTACTAGGGAATTGATTATAAAATTATGAACATGAACTTCAAATAATTGTATTATTATAATCAAGCGTGTTCATGCAAGAGACTCTAATACCATACAGGACTTTATAGGTACTATAAGCGGAATTTATGAATCATATTCATAATCACCTAAACCAAGATCACATGCATAACACACAAAAATCGCGTAATCATACCTTTGAAGCGTGAATTCCACGAAGTTATTCGATCGGCAAATTAAGGAGAGAATAGAGCCTCAAGCGTTGCTCCTCTACTTAGTCCACGAGATTCGAACGAGCTGTCCACCAATACTACATTGATCAAGTGAAGGGTAAAACCACGATCACCTCCTTTGCGGACAACCGACCACCACCATGAACCACCACCACCATGAGAATACAACCGGCGCAAGGGTAGGAGAGAAAGCCGTGAGAAAGAGAAAGAGAGTTTGAGAGGCATGGTCTTGTGTTTGCTAATTAGGGTTTCAACTTAATAGTAAAACTGTTCATTGGAATTACCTAGGCCCCTAGTCTACTTATAATCATATTATAATAAGACAAGGTTAGGAAGCCCAAAACCCTCCAAACTCCTCATCATAGCCGGCCACCTAGGGAATGAGGCCCATCATGGGTCTCGTTCTCTAATGCTCGATCTAGGCCCTTTGTGTGAACTTATAGAATCCGTCTAATCGGGCTTTGGCCTAATTTACTAGCCTTAATTTCATTAGTACCTCTACCTATGATATAATGATGATCTAAATGGACGGACTTAATTATCTCCATTTTTCGATCCATTTAGATATCTAGTAATTGCACTTGACGAAGACATTAATCCTTTAGAATCGTGCTAGTACCTTATCGGTGTATGCATTTTGGCTTAATCCAATCATCTTCTTAAATCTATCCCTATTGATCTTGATGCCCAATATGTACTTTGCCTCTCCCAAGTCCTTCATTTAAACACTTTCCAAGCCAAGCCTTTACAAACTCTAACATTGGAATAATGTTTCCAATGAGCATTATGTCATCGACATATAAGACGACGAATGCGATGTCACTCCCACTAACCTTCTTGTAAACACAAGATTCATCTTGATTCTTTATAAACCAAACTCACTGTTAGTTTCATTGAATCACAGATTCCAACTTCTAGTCGTTTTCCTTATCCTTAAATGGACTTCTTAAGCTTGCATACCTTCCTAGCATTGCTTGGATCAATAAAACCTTCCAGTTGTGTCATGTACACAGTTTGTTCCAAAATTCCATTTAGGAAGGCGGTTTTGACATCCATTTTCCATATTTCGTAATCGTAATATGCAGCAATTGCTAGGATAATTATCTGAACCGACTTAAGCATTGCAACTGGTGAAAAAGGTTTAATCATAATCAACGCCATGAATTTTCCTGTAACCTTTTGCCACTAATCTAGCTTTGTATACATATACATTTCCATATTTGTTGGTTTTCAACTTGAAAATCCATTTGCAACCGATAAGTGTATATCCTTTAGGCAAATCAACCAAGTCCCATACTTAATTTTCAAACATGGAGTCCATCTCATATTTCATGGCTTCTTGCAACTTTACAGAGTTAGGGCTCGTTATAGCTTGTTTGTACATTGTTGGCTCATCTCCATCCACAACTAGGATGCCTTGATCCTCGGTTAATACAACCCCGTGATATATATCTAGTTGAGATTGTCCTTTGCGACCTACGCAGGGTAATAGGTTGAGCATTTGCATTGTCATTTTGACTTTGTACATTGTCGGTTTGACTTTGACCGCCAATGTTAACAGCTGATTTTAAAGCACTTTGATTGTCAGTTTGACTTTGTTACTCGTCCTCTTGATCAACTTCATCAAGTTCAATTTTCCTCCCACTTGTCATTTTGTAAAGGTGCTCCTTCTCCCAAAAGACACCATCGTGAGAAATAAACACTTTATTCTCGGATTTTTTTGCAGAAGTAATACCTCTTAGTTTCTTTTGGATATCCCACAAATAAACTGATGTTGGGTGAAGTTTGTCAAAGATTAATTTCTTGACATATGATTCACAACCCCAAATCTTAAGAAAAGACAACCTTGGAGGTCTCTTCATCCATAATTCATATGGAGTCTTTTTGACAGCTTTTGACGAAGCTTAGTTCAGTGTTAGTGTTGCGGTTAGAAGTACGTGTCCCTAAAACACTACTAGAAAAAGCTCATTTTCGACGGAAAATTTCCGTCGGAAACACCTTGAAATCCGTCGGAAAAGGTGTTTCCGACGAAATTCCGTCGGAAATGGTTGTCGGTAACGCCTTGGTAGGAAAACCACCTTTTCCGACGAAAATTTCTACGGAATTTCCTTCGAAAATGTCCTTTTAAAAAAAAAACACGCCGCACCACCACCGGTGCGGCGTATCACCACCTCCACTATTCCTAACCACCGCAACTAACACATCAGACCACCACCATGTTACCCATACCCTGACCAAAACCCTCCCCAAACCCTGACCGAAACCCTCACCACACCCAGGACCACCCTGATCGAACCCTCCCCATACCCAGAACCCTCCCCAAACCCAGAACCATCCCCAAACCCACCCACCTAATGACCCTCAACACGGAAGACCACCACCACTGAACCCAAACCCATACCCACTTAACCCAGATCTACCCACCTAAGCACCCAACCCGACCGAACCCACACTCTAACCCACCCACCTAAAACCCTCAACACGTAAGACCACCACCACCACCGAACCGACAATCAAACACCGTACCTAAAACCATCCAAAAATTTTAAAAAAAAATCAAAAACAAAAATAAAAACATTAAAACGTACCTTAAAAATCAAAAAGCTTCAAAATTTCCTCGAACTTGGTTTAAAAAGGCCAAATTTGACCATGACAACGCTAGATTTAGCATTTTCATGGTCGAATTCCACCTTAAAAATCATTAAAGACCGTGAGTTAGAAAGAGAAGAGGGAGGAGAAGGCATTGATGAGAGGAGGAGATGAGGAGGGAAGGGGAGTCAGGAGAGGAGGGAAGGGGAGTCAGAAGATAAGGGAGGAGGAGATCGAAGAGAGAGAGAGAGAAGATGAGAGGAAGAGAGGAAGAGAGGAGAGAAGAGATGCGGAGGAGAGAAAGAGAGAGAGAAGTGAAATGAAATGGGTAGGGGAAGACTGTCGTTTTAATTAGGGTTTGGGGGTTTTAATTATTTTTTTTATAATTATTTTACTAAATTCTGTCGGAAAGGCTGTAAAATCCGTCGCAAATTTCCGATGGAATTAATTTCGGTTAGAAATTTCAAAAGGATTTTTAAACCGTCGGAAAATATACCGTTTCCAACGGATTTTCCGTCGTAAATGGTATATTTTCCAACGAATTAAAAATCCATCGGAAATTTCTACGGATTTGAAAATCCGTCAAGAGTACAAATTTTCCGATAGATTTCCGTATCCGTCAGAATAGGCCTATTCTAGTAGTGAAAAGAGATAGGAGGATCGCTAAGACCCATCCTTCATCAGACCATGTCTAACAAGGTTCAATTCTTCCTCTCGGACACTCCGTTCCATTGTGAAGTTCCGGGAGGTGTCAAATCTAAAAGAATACCATGTTCTTTCAGATGGTCGTCAAATTCATGGCTCAATTATTCACCACTTTGATCTAGTCGAAGGGCTTTGATTTTCTTGCCAAGATAATTTTCCACTTCACTCTAAAATTCTTTGAATTCCTCAAATGATTCTTATTTGTTCGACATTAGGTAGCACTACAAGAAGACATCCAAAATCTATCGCAAAAAATAACAAAAACGATTGTCGCAAAAATTAGGCAATTCAAACATTTGGACTCCTGCGTATCCCTTTAAAAAGACTCCGGGAAAGAAGAAAGATAGCTTAGCTAAAAAAGGCTAAGGAAGCTTGAAAAAGGTATGGTAGTGATCTCACTCCACGCATTGCACACTCTTTTCGTCCAACAATCAATATCATAAGGAATCCTGTTACAACCAACTGCCATAATGGGTTTGTTGTAGTCAGATATATCGCAAAAAACCATTTATATGACAGTTTGATTGTCGTAAAAATTTATTAAGATGGTTTTACTAATTTCAACGACAGTTTATGTTTTGTCGCTACAATTATTTACGACAGTTTAAAACCTTCGCAACTTACAACAGAGAACAAAAAATGTCGTAAATTATGAACTTACCGAACACTGGCCATCGCAAAAAAAAAGTTAAAAAAAAGAAAGAAAAATCAACGCCCTTCCATTTCCCCATTACCCTCTAGCCCTACCTTTACCCAGGCGGCCTCCCTGCCCCCATTCCTACCCCACCAACTTTCCATTTCCCACCACCATGGACAACCCCTACACCTTAAACAAAAAAATACAAAAATACAACCTTTATATCTATAAATCAAATCTAGAAATCAAACAAAAAATAACCCAGCGTATTATACAAAGAAAAATGAAAATATAAAACAAAAAAACATAAATATAACAAGCATGAAATACAAATATACATCAACTAATAAAAGAACCCCAATAAAAGTGAACAAAAAGTTAATGAAAAACCAGAATTTTTCGGAAAAAGTACCAAATTCACACAAAAAATCCATGGTAAATCAAACGCAAAAAAACCCATAAAATATTCATCATTTAAATTGAAAAAAAGTAAATGAAAGTTAACATCTAAACAATAATAACCTTTAAATAAAGAAAATTCACCCCCATAAATCAAAGTTAACTTTGAATAATTGAAAATAAACACAAATAACTAAGGGCTTGTTTGGCATTGCTTTTGGTTTTCAGTTTTCTGATTTTTTGAAAACAAAAAACCAAAAACATGAAACAAGAAAAAGTTGTTTCCACTTTTCTGTTGTCAGTTTTCAAAATTATCATGTTTTTAATAAGGTTGAATAATTTTTAATTCATT